TTGCGTTCACTGACGGATTTATAAAGTCAACGCTAATTTGTGACGGAATTCAATGTCGGATTCGTCTGCCATTATGTTTTGTGACAGAAATTCAGTCGCTAATTTCCGCCAGTGATTAATTTTCAAATATTTAACAAAACGCATTTTGCATTGAAATTATTCATGATTAAATTTTATTGGCATTTTTTAAATAAAAATAAGAAAATAATTCGAAATGTATGCAAAATCAAATCATAAAACATTCCATTTAAAGTATGCACAATCAAATAATAGCTATTAACATCTTCATATATCATAATATATAACCCATTACCGGTACCAAGTTCATGTACCACAAAATTCAAAAAATAACATACACCACATTCAGTTGGGTATGCTTTAAAGTGTACAAGCTTCAGTTGGTTATGCTTTAAAGTGTAGAAGCTTTTCAATGCAAAAACAACATACATATAACTAATGGGACATAGAAGGTTCATTTGATTCTTGGGACCCTTGAGAAGAGAAATCTGTTTGTGGAAAAAAGCCTTCTGCATCAATTCCATGGGATTTAAAAAACGAAAGCCATGTATCTTCAAAAGTCTTAGGTTGTGAATCGGGGTCTTCGTACATCAAACTTTCATCCACAAGAGGCATTGCCGATGGACACTCGTGGCCTTGTGAAGATAACCATTTTCTCATTTGTTCATCCCAATATACGCAAAACTCATATACACGTTGTGATGATGAACAACATCCTTGATGAGCTGACTCTAACTGTTGAAGGAATGCTTTGGAGTACCTCCCGGTTCCAAAAACTTGTTTCCTTTTGCACCCAACCACTTCAAAATATAGAGAATACATTTTGGATAATGCAACTTTTGACGCCTTGGATAACCCAATTTCTGCTTCGGATGATTCAGTGTGTTCACTTTCAGCTTTATTAAAAGTGTCAGACAAACTTTTAATAGCCTCCTGTAATACAAAATGATAAAGTCACTACATAATCCAAGTTACATAATACCAATATTGCTACTTTCTACTATAACATCACAATAATTCAATACATTAAACAACTTTTACTTCAGTTCAGATATAACTTCTATTTCAACTCAAAAATGAACTGAAATAGTAAATATTTCAGTCAGAGTTCTCTAAACGGCATTTCAGAAGTTGTATAAAGTAAGCATCCACCACCGATTCTGTTTGTTAGAAGAACAATATTCCCCATGTGGTTTCTCACTTGTGCTGTTCTGCAAGAGGGCAGAAAAATGTACTCATTTAGGTTTTCACCCATCCCTTTTCCTTTATTTTCCCAGTCTGGTGTGAAAGATGTCACAATCTCTTTTTTTCATTTTTATTTTCTCATTCATTTTTGCTCATCTTTGTATTTATTTGAGATGGTTGTCAATTACAGTTGTTAACTTGTTGAGTATCCAAATACATGAGTCTGCACTCAAAAACCAATTCGGAAGTGATGAAGGTAATTTGATAAACAATTTGGAGGTCTATATAATACAATAAGGTAATTAATTAATGAAAATACAGTAGTGGGTGGAGTTGAAGCGTGGACATTCTCAGGCTACAACTTTGTCGAACCACAACTTACCTGCGTGAGTGATGCATCCTACCTGCACTTTGTTTGGACAGGTTGTTACTTGGCCACTTGGGGAATAGTTTTGATGCTAATTTTCTAGTAGGTTTAATTTGGTATGATCTTTATTTATTTATTTATTTATTTATTTATTTATTTATTTATTTATTTATTTATTTATTTATTTATTTATTTATTTATTTATTTATTTATTTATTAATTTATTTAATTATTTATTTATTTATTTATTTATTTATTTATTTAATTATTTATTTATTTATTTATTTATTTATTTATTTATTTATTTATTTATTTATTTATTTATTTATTTATTTATTTATTTATTTATTTATTTATTTATTTATTTATTTATTTATTTATTTATTTATTTATTTATTTATTTATTTATTTATTTATTTATTTATTTATTTATTTATATGCTTAGTTTAGAACAATACAATCACTTTTTTAGAGAAACAATACAGTCACTTAAGTATATGTATTTAGATTATTATTTACATTTCTAATAAATATATTTTCCATCATTTAAATCACATAAATACTCACATTAAATTCAGATAATTACATACAAAGAAACATTGCAAAATGAAAAGTGAAAAAATAATGGCATACCATAATTTTTGAGTGTGAGGAATGATCGATTAGCTCTCCATTTTTCCTTTTATCGGGGTGGAATGTCTTACAAAGTTTCAAAGGATTTATGTGTTCACCGGTAAGTCTCAACTAAAAAAAATGCAAACCATCATCCAACGAAGCAATTAAAAGTATTAAACTTTTAAAATAAAAATTACACATTATAATAATTGCCATCCAAATGAAACAATGAAACACACGCTGCATATGAGCATCTAATTAACAACACCAAATCTATTTCAGGGCATACATAAAAATTTGTCAGTTAGCATCTAGAGCATGCCCAAACTGAAAACACAGGCTGACCTATACTCTTAGCGCTGGAAACTGAAAGTGAAAAAAATGAAAAGAAAATGAAAATTGAAAAGAATTAAGCAAGTATCATACTCCGTATATAATAAAAACTGAAAAGATATCAACCAAAAACATAACAACTGAAAAGAAATGAAAATTTATCAAATGAAAAAATAAAGCAAGTTTCATAATAAAAACTGAAAAACTGAAAACAAATGAAAATAAAATATTGAAAACTCAAAGCTGAAAGTTTGTTTTCTATATTCAAAGCAAATAGAAAACCAAAAACTGAAAAACAATAGCAGTCCAAAGTATAAAACTGTCACCCTATATCGCCCAATGAAGTACTAGAAATGAAAATCATCATACGAAGTTTCATAATAATTTAGAGAAAAAATCTCTTCTTCAGCCACATCAATTGCGGCTTTAGATCCTCCATATTGTTTGCACCTGTCTCCACCGGCAATACGATTCTTCTTACCTGACTGAGATGCCTTTTTAAATTGTTCTGACCTCATATATTCTTGCACCGCAGCCCAAGTGAAGTTATTCACTGTTGAAGGTCGCTTTTTCCTTGAAATTTTAATAAAGATATGACATTAAATTCCAATTTAATTAAATAAGCCACAGAATAAGAAGTAACATCATTCATTGTGCTAACCTGATATCACCCATAATACGTGAGTAAGCACGACTCTTTATATGATTTTTGAAAGCTATCCTGATATCTTCAAGTTGATACTTAGAAGTATCCCAAGTCACTACATCCTATACGTCAAAGATTCTTTAACCATTAAGATCATATAAAGAATATTGTTTTATAAATAGGTGTTTATTGTTATAAATTATCTTAAGGTCCAAAATACACATGAGTAAATAACTAATATGATTTATCTTAAAATAAATAAACCTGGAATTGTTCCCAATACAATTGTTTTGTCCTTTTAGGGACCCATTTCCACTGTTGACCTGCTGGATGTAGATTGTACTTGATTTGTTTTGAGAGAATGCCTTGAAACTTTAAACTTGTTTTGTTGACAGAAATATTGACAAGCCTGCATTTAAAGTACACATTATTTGCTAGATTGCATAGCATAAATAACAATGTACACACACAAATATTAAACTTACTCTCCTGTTGCATTTACACCAATATTGGGTCTTTGAAATTTTGCCACTGAAATAGATTTGAAAGGATCTAATGGCTCTTCTCCCCACTTAAGATCACCGTAGGTATTGGGTTTCCAATCAATGATCTCTTCTTCCACATCTTCATTGTCTTCAAATAGATCATCATGTATATGTGATGTTGAAGGATGTTGTTGGTGAGAGAGTGTAGGACTCTGTTTCTGGTGGTTTAGGGGTGTGAGATTTGGCCTAGGACCTTGACGCACACTATATTGTGAAGGAGGTGGCTGGGGAGGCTGCTTTGTTTGTGGCATTTGTTGTTAGCTCTATCCCTCCAAAATCAACGTGTTGACCGTGTTGCTCCTAGGTTGACCTCGTTGACCATCTAGCTCCGAGAATTGACCTGTAAAATAATCACTAAAAGGAACTAAAAGTATATCAGTGGCTCGAGACGCGTTAGACGCTGTCCTAAGGAATTATTTCCGGCGTACGGAAATTTCCCCCAAGATATAACGAGCCCTTCGGTATGACACCGGAAGCAGAACTAACGAGAAGAATTTACTATATGAACCCAGCAATAAAATTGTATTGTTGATTTGTTGTATACACACTTCACCATATATACTCACTCAGGCACCCGGTCAGTAGCATGCAGTTGAGAATTTGTTTTGTTGTTTTCTAAGTCTCTCCTACACCGAGTGATTCAAGCATCTTTAGATATATATATATATACTATCCACACAAGGGAAACCAAAAGTGTGCTTAGAAAGCCATTTAATAAAATTAAAGTGGGAATTAATTAAGTAGTTTAAAAACATTAGAATACAAAACGTTTCAACATTAATTCATAATCATACCCACCTTTAGAAAACGTTCAGCAAGATTAATATCAAATTAAATTATTATAATGATCTATAATAATAATAATATTAATATGGTGGAATAATTAAAATAGACTTTTGAGTCATAATGAAATGTCTCACAAGAATAATAACCGAAAACTTATTCATTTGAAATACCTATAAATTCCCAACAATCCCCCACACATTTCAAATGAATATTCTATTTATTGAGAATAATAATTCCTTACTGGGTTCATATATGGGGTGAAGTTTTTCAATCTGGTGTCCGTAGACTTGAACCAGACCTAGACGCCTAAGTCTTTAAATACCGAGTTTATTGGTGAAACGTATAGTTTCTATGAACCAATAATCTACTTTGGTAAGTCAGTGTCTTAGGGGATCATTTTTCACCCCCACCTTTCTCGTTGTTAACGCCGTTGTGCGCCTCTAGGCCTTGCGCGTGCTTGGTTTTCTTGAGTGCTCTAGAAGCGTTGTCAATGCTTCATGGAGGCGGCCCCACCTCACACTCATATAGGTGATTTCATCAAGCGTGTCCCGCACTTAACACACCACCCATAAGGGCTATGACAATCATTACGAGCCTTAACTCAACCTCACAAAGAGATGCAGTCTAGCCTTCCACACCACAGAAATGGACATTTTACAAGGCTAGCAGAACAAATAGAAGACTTGTTATTACCCATTTGAACTTGCTTCATGGGATCTCCAATCATACAAGTTGGGTTCCCATCCCTATTTGTTGTCAAAATGACATTGGTCCATTTCCCTCGATGTTTAAATTTATCATTTAACGTCCTAGGGATTCTATAAAAAAGGAGTAGCTAATTCCTTTTAACATCACAAAATTAATGGAATAATTCCATTCGCAAACATCATTGCACCACTTTTAAGGGTGAATGGATATCCACTATTTTATCTCATGCGAGTCGACTCAGATGACATCGTTATATCCCGGCAATACAACGGATAACTCTCAATAAGAAATAGCATTGATGTGACACTTTTGTACATCAGAGAATTTCAATAATATGTTATATCATAACGGATAATTCTCAATATAATATATAACATCATTGTATCATCATAGTACAATGGATAATTCTCATACATAACATCGTTGTACCTCTCTAGTACAACAGATATTTCTCAATTAAACATATCATCGTTGTATCAATATGTTACAACGGATAATATTAACCATAACTAATGATACCTCTCTAATATCTCAATAACTTAAGGTATCCCAACCATCACATTTGAATTTCATATATTGGGTCAATCTTCAATTCCATCATTTTAAAATTATGAAATGCCACACACATTTAATTGTAACAGACTCACATTTGTTTTTTTATATCCAAGTCATAAGGGATATTCACATTTTAACATTGAAATATCAGACTTCTTAAAAAGTTTTTCAATATGATGATAGTAAAATACCACAATCCATCCTTATGGCTTTAATATAATACTCAAAAATTACTTTTATTATATTCATATATCAACTCAATATAGGCATATAGCTACTGAAATAAGCATATAAAAAATCCCAGCAACAATCAATCACCAATGCACCATTAGTGTATACACATTTCAAAAAAAAAAATCATCACATTAATCTCATCAACAATCATATAGCTTAAAGTATTACCCTGTGCTATTTTTCCAACATTAGAAAATCATATTATGCTCCACACTATACTAAACAAATTAATAATAAAATGTGATACATATATTATTTGCATACACAATCATTTTTAAAATCAGGTGCAAAGACCATTTAAATTTGCTTCACCCCCACATTTTGAGTATTTCAAAATCAGGTGCAAAGACCATTTAAATAACCAATCATTTTTTTATGCTTATTGAATCCCCTGCTAATCCATGCAAACTCCAAAGGAAAGTACACGTACACTAGAAAATATACACCTTACTTATAATTCATAAAGAGACATGATGTATTCCACTCAAAAAAAAAATTGTAACTATATTCGCATGCGGAAATCGAAATGCACCAAATCAAGTCATGCAAATTGAATCCTTTAATTTGTAGCAAATATTCCAGGAAGAATTAAGCATCTAATGCAAATACATGACAAATGTGTAAGAGTATCCACATGAGTTCTCAACATAGAGATTAAAGATTAGACCATTCATTTACTTCTAACAAAGTGAATTAAACATATACTACACCAATGCAATATTACACCGAGCATACCAAAGAACTTTCTAAAAAAAAACTGCCTAGTACAATTTAATATAGTACTACGTAGTTCATAATTCTCACAACTAAACGTGTGTACCCGGCCACTCATGAAGCATTATCAACGGTTAGCAAACAAGATTAAAATTCCAATGCATGTCATAAACATATTAAATGCATGTCATACAATAGAAATTTACTAACACTAGTAAGTTAAACACTTTCACGCAAGCCATTTAATTTAGAAATACCGAACGCATAACATTTATTATTATGTTTTTTTAAATGAAAATCCCAATAAAAACATCATTTTTGGACATAACAAATTTGTCACAATCAGATATATTAACCTCATTTTTTTTTTGTGTGGGCTTAATCTTAACAACCATTTCGTCATCCCCTATAGGACTATAGGAGGATAATCAAACCATTTTCTTTTATTCACAAATGTGTTTGGTAGCCTCAATATCTACCATCTCTCCATTCCACATCACTCGCCGATTTGAAAAATTAACCACACCAATTATATCATCACTGCCAACAAAGATTTCGCTTTATTTTGGTGGATAGCTTTTCCCAAATCTTTCATTGTCTAAAAAATGACTTTTTGAACAAAAGGCTATAAAAACGCACCGTAATTTTGACCATCGTTGGGAGCTAGAAATGTAGTCATATTTTTGGCGTCACTAGTCAGAGGAGATGTATCCGCCACGTTGACTGGATGTTTCATATAGGTGTAATTTTTTGTTCGCCTATAATTCCTTAGATTGTTAGCTCTATCCCTCCAAAATCAACGTGTTGACCGTGTTGCTCCTAGGTTGACCTCGTTGACCATCTAGCTCCGAGAATTGACCTGTAAAATAATCACTAAAAGGAACTAAAAGTATATCAGTGGCTCGAGACGCGTTAGACGCTGTCCTAAGGAATTATTTCCGGCGTACGGAAATTTCCCCCAAGATATAACGAGCCCTTCGGTATGACACCGGAAGCAGAACTAACGAGAAGAATTTACTATATGAACCCAGCAATAAAATTGTATTGTTGATTTGTTGTATACACACTTCACCATATATACTCACTCAGGCACCCGGTCAGTAGCATGCAGTTGAGAATTTGTTTTGTTGTTTTCTAAGTCTCTCCTACACCGAGTGATTCAAGCATCTTTAGATATATATATATACTATCCACACAAGGGAAACCAAAAGTGTGCTTAGAAAGCCATTTAATAAAATTAAAGTGGGAATTAATTAAGTAGTTTAAAAACATTAGAATACAAAACGTTTCAACATTAATTCATAATCATACCCACCTTTAGAAAACGTTCAGCAAGATTAATATCAAATTAAATTATTATAATGATCTATAATAATAATAATATTAATATGGTGGAATAATTAAAATAGACTTTTGAGTCATAATGAAATGTCTCACAAGAATAATAACCGAAAACTTATTCATTTGAAATACCTATAAATTCCCAACATTTGTTTAGTTGTGTTAATAGGCTGCCTTCTCCCAAGTGAAGAAACGGGTGGAGATGGTGTTGAACGGCTAGAACTGCCGGATATCGCTTGGGTTACATGCCCTGGTTTGTTATTTGATAATGGATGCAGGAACTCCATTTTTATTCCGGAAGGTAGGGATAAGTTGGGGTTTCATCTATTTAGCTCTACTTTATTAAGTCGGATTGAACTATTAAAAGAGATGAAGAAGGGGGCGATGGAGAGTGATTTGGGTGATCAAGGGGTGGTATGCTCAAACACAAAATTTGAGGATTATGTGACTGTGGGTACTACATCCTCCATGCTCTTTGAGGAGGATTTATTCTTGAATGGCTATTTATCTTCTTCTATTAGTCATGTAGTCCCCCTTGAGACCGAATGCTTTAATAGAGAGATTGTTACTTTGAGGGAGGAATGTCCTAAGGATATGCCTAGGGAAGCGGATGAGGATGAGATTATTGTGGGAGAAGTTATGCATGCTACACCTATTCAGGTTTCATTCCCTATGCAAATCGAGCATAGAGCAATCAAGGGTGTTTCTCAATCTGATTCAGACGATGCTTCTGATGGCTCTACGGGTTATGATTCAGATCAAGAGTTGCTTGCTCGTTTAAGTGATCCTAATTACAAAACAGCAACTCGATCAAATTGTGCTTAGACGAAGTGCTCGCCTTCAAGCTAAAAATCAGGGATGCTAAAGAATTTGTGATGCCTTTTACGCACACTTTGGGATTTTTGGGGGGTCAAGTTAATTGTGTGCTGAGACAAGAAATGGTGTGCAGGGGTGCAATTAGCACGGGTGAGCAAAGCTGAAATTTATTGACAAGGGATTGAGATTCACACTTACAATTTTAATTTGGAGGATGGCCTTACTTTTTCTCTAAATAGCTTTAAATTCTCTTCCCTCATTAGCGATTGTACTTTTTTACCCTTCCTTTTCCATTAATAAAATGTTTAAAAAAAAAGCTAGATCCAAGTCTTGGGCTAGGAGTCAGGTGAGTTACATGCCCTGGTTTGTTATTCTGATAGCCAGATCCAAGTCCTAGGCTAGGAGTCAAGCTTCGGTTTAGTAAAGAAGGTGATGGAGATGGCGTTGAACGGCTAGAACTGCCTGACACCATTTAAGTTACATGATATTGTTTCTTATTCTGGCAGGGAGCTCCAAGCCCTTTAAATGTGGAGATTTTTTTTCAAAAGGACCTAAGCAAAAAAGAGTGAAACATAAATTAAATAAGAACTTGAAATACTTATGATACATTGAAATGGGAGAACAAAAGTCAATTAACAAATATTAAGCTTTTTATTTTTTTCAACTGAAGAATGTGTTCATACGCTAGTATTTACTGGTTTCTACTTGAATAAACATGGTTTGTTCAAAAAAATGTTTGATGGAGTCCAATAGTGAATATACTGGGTAATACTAAAAATAAGTAAGCATCAATCAGCATAATTTCCATCATAAAACAATTATGTTGTTTCTGCTGAAAAAACAAAATACGAGGTAACAAATGTGGAGAGTTTCCAACTTCTTTCACCAACTAAGTCACCTACCACCAAAACACAGTACTTGGTATAAAGCAAAGCCAATAATTAAATAATTCAGTGCTTATCATGTCGTTGAATTTCCATACGAACAACTTCAATCTGTAATAAAATGCATAGTTTGTAACAGCTTTGGAATACAAGAAAGCTTTAACATAGAATGAGGAACAATATTTTTGACAGACACGTATATATCAACACTCAAGCAACTTTAGGAATTAACATTCCACTAACAAATTAATAAACTTTTTTAACCAGACCACTAAGAGATGAAGAAAAAATTACACATATAGGAGCAAACTATATTGAAAACAGATACGAAGTACAAATGAAGAATTGACATAAAAGACTTATTTCATAGTAGTACGTAATACGGAGTACTTTTATTACTATCTACTACATCCGTCCCCCTAAGTTTGGGACAAAGAGGTGTGGTGTGGTTTTTAAGAAAAAGTAGAATTGTGTTGTTGTTATTTAATTGATAAAGTGTGAAAAAGTAATAATGAATTCTAACCACTCAAATATTACTTAATATGATATGGGACAAACTTAATGGAACGGACGAAGAGTATTAGACTACACAGGTGACCTAGTCTCGATCTGTAAATCTGGTTTACTTCATTGGCATAATAATCTCTCTGATTGTTTACTTATTCAATAGCAAGCCTTGACCACACTAATTCCATATTTCCGTTGCTAACTATATCTCTCCACACATTTCGGTTATATTTGATCTGCAAAACAGCAAAAGTGATGCCAAAAACGAAGCTGCTCTTAAATACAGAGTAGAGAAGAGTGTAACTTGGCAAACTTAGCACATACACATAGTATATACGAAATACATATAGAAGCATCAGCCGAAAAAAAAGTACTCACCTTGTATACATATCATTTTAGGTAAGATTCACACCCCCAAATTCAAGCATCCAATTATTGACTAAAACTGTAACTGTACAGAGTGAACAAGGAAAAAACCAAATGATATTCATTTCGGAAAATATATATTTGAAACATGATTAGGCACAGATGGCGTATAGATGAAGAATAGACCTCAAAAGTGATTAGAGATGGTGGAGATGATGATGCTATTGAGAAAAGGGAACTGATGGTTAGAGAGCCCAAGCATATTTACTGAAGAAGACCGGCTCTCAGCTGCCTGCGGTTGAAGTAATTGATTTGTAAATACCTAGGGTTTGTGGATAGGTTTGTTTTGCCGACAAATGACTGAAATGAGTGTACATGTGGGCTTTAGTTGAATTGGAGGGAAATCGAAAAATTGGGGGGGGGGGGGGGAGAGCGATTGGAGGATTCGTCAAAGTCTGCTCATTATTAATAAAGAATCCATCTTCAAATCTATGCACACGGCGTTCTTTTGTAACCACTTCCTCCGGGAAATAGTAACTCGCAAATGTATCCATCTCACTTTTCAAATAACCTTCCCCGATTGAGGCCTCAACTCTTGCCTTGTTTCCGATTTTTGTCTTCAACACTGATCCTAGGAAACTGTGTGAATGATAACACTTAAAAGTTAAAACATGAAGTAACAATTTATATTATAGTAACTGAAAGAGATAAAATAAAAGATACTAACTTTTCAAAACGATACATCCAGCGATACTGTGCCGGTCCGTCCCACAAAGCTTCATCTGGTAAATGTACAACAAGATGCTCACTGGGGTCAAAGAATGACAGTGGGAATATCTTCTCCAACTTGCATAATATAATGGGAATATCTGCCTTTAGCTTCTCCATGTCAGAAACAGTAATATTCTTTCTTGTTAACTCGTGAAAAAATAAACTAATCTCCGTGATTGCCTCCCAAATCGAAGCAGGTAACATCTCTCTAAAAGCAATCGGAATTAAACGTTGCATAAACACATGACGATCATGACTCTTCATGCCAAATACTTTAAGTTTTTCCATTTCTATGCAACGCCCTAACCGAGATGCAAAACCATCAGGGAAGTTCAGCGAATCAACCCAATTGCATAACATTTCCATTTGCTCACTTGAAAGAGTAAACGAAGCCTTAGGGAATTTTCCATGTCCGTCACTCTCCATACTCGGCCTATGACAAATTTGTTCCATATCCATTCTCCCTTTAGCATGATCCTTCGATTTTCCTGGCACCCCCCAAAATTGTATAAAACATATTCTCAAAGAAATTCTTCTCTATGTGCATCACATCGAGATTATGCCGTATAAGCAAATCCTTCCAATATGGAAGATCCCAAAATATACTACGTTTCTTCCATCCAATGTCTCTTCCAGCTATTTTATTATGATCAATACCTCCTAGTTCAGTCACGAGCATGAAGGAACCCACCTCATCATAGCAATATGAACCATCTCTCGGTAATGGAGGGCCATAGAAGATTGATTTTCCCTTAGTAAAGTTCTCATTATCGAACCGGAATGGATGATCACCAGGTAAGAACTTTCTATGATTATCAAACCAACTATGTTTTTTGCTATGGGATAACCAAAAGGCTTCAGTAAACTCAGTACAACATGGAAATGCAAATTTCCCCTTTGTACTCCATCCAGAAAGCATGGCATATGCAGGAAAATCACTAATTGTCCATAGCAAAACAGCTCGCATAATGAAATTATCTCTTGAGAATGCATCATATGTTATAACTCCAACGTCCCACAGTTGTTTCAACTCTTCTATCAATGGTTGCAAATACACATCTATCCCCTTTGTTGGATTTCTTGGTCCAGGTGTCATAATAGACAAAAATCATGCATCCCAACGACGATAAATTCTTGTAGTGTTAAATTCTAAATCATATAGATTTCTTAAGAGAAAATTTGGAAACATTTTATTGATAATATATATACCGATAGTACATTGCTATTTTAATTAGTTTATTCAATGAAGATGTAATGTATGTCATTTTTTGTTTAGATTTTAGTATGAATAATAATAGGTCATGGATGTACAAAAGACTAGAGAGACGAGGATTTCTGAATGATGATTTCAAGGAAGGTGTCAATGAGTTCATTCAGACATCAACAAATTTATATCTCAGCGGTGTCATTGCATGTCCATGTAGAAAGTGTAAAAATCGAAAATGGTTGACTTCGGATATTGTCAAACAACACCTATTTGAGAAAGGTTTTGTTGATGACTATTATGTATGGGCAGCGCATGGAGAGATGTGTATTTGAAACCATTGATAGAAGAGTTGAAACAACTGTGGGACGTTGGAGTTATAACATATGATGCATTCTCAAGAGACAATTTCATTATGCGAGCTGTTTTGCTATGGACAATTAGTGATTTTCCCGCATATGCCATGCTTTCTGGATGGAGTACAAAGGGGAAATTTGCATTTCCATGTTGTACGGAGTTTACTGAAGCCTTTTGGTTATCCCATAGCAAAAAACATAGTTGGTTTGATAATCATAGAAAGTTTTTACCTGGTGATCATCCATTCTGGTTCGATAATGAGAACTTTACTAAGGGAAAATCAATCTTCTATGGCCCTCCATTACCGAGAGATGGTTCATATTGCTATGATGAGGTGGGTTCCTTCATGCCCGTGACTGAACTAGGAGGTATCGAGCATAATAAAATAGCTGGAAGAGACATTGGATGGCAGAAACGTAGTATATTTTGGGATCTTCCATATTGGAAGGATTTGCTTATACGGCATAATCTCGATGTGATGCACATAGAGAAGAATTTCTTTGAGAATATGTTTTATACAATTTTGGGGGGTGCCAGGAAAATCGAAGGATCATGCTAAAGGGAGAATGGATATGGAACAAATTTGTCATAGGCCGAGTATGGAGAGGGACGGACATGGAAAATTCCCTAAGGCTTCGTTTACTCTTTCAAGTGAGCAAATGGAAGTGTTATGCAATTGGGTTGATTCGCTGAACTTCCCTGATGGTTTTGCATCTCGGTTAGGGCGTTGCATAGAAATGAAAAAACGTAAAGTATTTGGCATGAAGAGTCATGATCGTCATGTGTTTATGCAACGTTTAATTCCGATTGCTTTTAGAGAGATGTTACCTGCTTCGATTTGGGAGGCAATCACGGAGATTAGCTTATTTTTTCACGAGTTAACAAGAAAGAATATTACTGTTTCTGACATGGAGAAGCTAAAGGCAGATATTCCCATTATACTATGCAAGTTGGAGAAGATATTCCCACTGTCATTCTTTGACCCCAGTGAGCATCTTGTTGTACATTTACCAGATGAAGCTTTGTGGGTCGGACCGGCACAGTATCGCTGGATGTATCATTTTGAAAAGTTAGTATTTTTATTTTATCTCTTTCAGTTACTATAATATAAATTGTTACTTCATGTTTTAACTTTTAAGTGTTATCATTCACACAGTTTCCTAGGATTAGTGGTGAAGACAAAAATCGGAAACAAGGCAAGAGTTGAGGCCTCAATCAGGGAAGGTTATTTGCAAAGTGAGATGGGTACATTTGCGAGTTACTATTTCCCGGAGGAAGTGGTTACAAAAGAACGCTGTGTGCATAGATTTGAAGATGGATTCTTTATTAATGATGAGCGGACTTTGGCGAATCCTCCAAAAATTTTGAGCGGACTTTTTCGCTCCCCCCCCCCATTTTTCGATTTCCCTCCACTTCAACCAAAGCCCACATGGGCACTCATTTCAGTCATTTGTCGGCAAAACAAACCTTTCCACAAACCCTAGGTATTTACAAATCAATTACTTCAACCGCAGGCAGCTGAGAGCCGGTCTTCTTCAGTAAATATGCTTGGGCTCTCTAACCATCAGTTCCCTTTTCTCAATAGCATCACCATCTCCACCATCTCTAATCAGTTTGAGGTCTATTCTTCATCTATCCGCCATCTGTGCCTAATCATGTTTCAAATATATATTTTCCGAAATGAATATCATTTGGTTTTTTCCTTGTTCACTCTGTACAGTTACAGTTTTAGTCAATAATGGGATGCTTGAATTTGGGGGTGTGAATCTGACCTAAAAGGATATATATACAAGGTGAGTACTTTTTTTCGGCTAATGCTTCTATATGTATTTCGTATATACTATGTGTATGTGCTAAGTTTGCTAAGTTACACTCTTCTCTACTCTGTATTTAAGAGCAGCTTCGTTTTTGGCATCACTTTTGCTGTTTTGCAGATCAAATATAACCGAAATTTGTGGAGAGATATAGTTAGTAACGGAAATATGGAATTAGTGTGGTCAAGGCTTCCTATTGAATAAGTAAACAATCAGAGAGATTATTATGCCAATGAAGTAAACCAGATTTACAGATCGAGACTAGGTCACTTGTGTAGTCTAATACTCTTCGTCCGTTTCATTAAGTTTGTCCCATGTCATATTGAGTAATATTTGAGTGGTTAGAATTCATTATTACTTTTTCACACTTTATCAATTCAATAACAACAACACAATTCTACTTTTTCTTTATTACTAGTAAATAGTAATAAAAGTACTCCGTATTACGTACTACTATGAAATAAGTCTTTTATGTCAATTCTTCATTTGTACTTCGTATCTGTTTTCAATATAGTTTGCTTCTATATGTGGAATTTTTTCTTCATCTCTTAGTGGTCTGGTTAAAAAAGTTTATTAATTTGTTAGTGGAATGTTAATTCCTAAAGTTGCTTGAGTGTTGATATATACGTGTCTGTCAAAAATATTGTTCCTCATTCTATGTTAAAGCTTTCATGTATTCCAAAGCTGTTACAAACTATGCATTTTATTACAGATTGAAGTTGTTCGTATGGAAATTCAACGACATGATAAGCACTGAATTATTTAATTATTGGCTTTGCTTTATACCAAGTATTGTGTTTTGGTGGTAGTTGACTTAGTTGGTGAAAGAAGTTGGAAACTCTCCACATTTGTTACCTCGTATTTTGTTTTTTCAGCAAAAACAACATAGTTGTTTTATGATGGAAATTATGTTGATTGATGCTTACTTATTTTTAGTATTACCCAGTATATTCACTATTGGACTCCATCAAACATTTTTTTTGAACAAACCATGTTTATTCAAGTAGAAACCAGTAAATACTACCGTATGAACACATTCTTCAATTGAAAAAATAAAAAGCTTAATATTTGTTAATTGACTTTTGTTCTCCCATTTCAATGTATCATAAGTATTTCAAGTTCTTATTTAATTTATGTTTCACTCTTTTTTGCTTAGGTCCTTTTTAAAAAAATGACCACATTTAAAGGGCTTGGAGCTCCCTGCCAGAATAAGAAACAATATCATGTAACTCAAGAGGTGTCAGGCAGTTCTAGCCGTTCAACGCCATCTCCATCAGCTTCTTTACTAAAGCAAAGCTTGACTCCTAGCCTAGGACTTGGATCTGGCTATCAGAATAACAAACCAGAGCATGTAACTCACCTGACTCCTAGCCCAGGACTTGGATCTGGCTATCAGAATAACAAACCAGGGCATGTAACCCAAGCGATATCCGGCAGTTCTAGCCGTTCAACACCATCTCCACCCATTTCTTTACTTGGGAGAAGGCAGCCTATTAACACAACTAAACAAATGCCACAAACAAAGCAGCCTCCCCAGCCACCTTCTTCACAATATAGTGTGCGTCAAGGTCCTAGGCCAAATCTCACACCCCTAAACCACCAGAAACAGAGTCCTACACTCTCTCACCAACAACATCCTTCAACATCACATATACATGATGATCTATTTGAAGACAATGAAGATGTGGAAGAAGAGATCATTGATTGGAAACCCAATACCTACGGTGATCTTAAGTGGGGAGAAGAGCCATTAGATCCTTTCAAATCTATTTCAGTGGCAAAATTTCAAAGACCCAATATTGGTGTAAATGCAACAGGAGAGTAAGTTTAATATTTGTGTGTGTACATTGTTATTTATGCTATGCAATCTAGCAAATAATGTGTACTTTAAATGCAGGCTTGTCAATATTTCTGTCAACAAAACAAGTTTAAAGTTTCAAGGCATTCTCTCAAAACAAATCAAGTACAATCTACATCCAGCAGGTCAACAGTGGAAATGGGTCCCTAAAAGGACAAAACAATTGTATTGGGAACAATTCCAGGTTTATTTATTTTAAGATAAATCATATTAGTTATTTACTCATGTGTATTTTGGACCTTAAGATAATTTATAACAATAAACACCTATTTATAAAACAATATTCTTTATATGATCTTAATGGTTAAAGAATCTTTGACGTATAGGATGTAGTGACTTGGGATACTTCTAAGTATCAACTTGAAGATATCAGGATAGCTTTCAAAAATCATATAAAGAGTCGTGCTTACTCACGTATTATGGGTGATATCAGGTTAGCACAATGAATGATGTTACTTCTTATTCTGTGGCTTATTTAATTAAATTGGAATTTAATGTCATATCTTTATTAAAATTTCAAGGAAAAAGCGACCTTCAACAGTGAATAACTTCACTTGGGCTGCGGTGCAAGAATATATGAGGTCAGAACAATTTAAAAAGGCATCTCAGTCAGGTAAGAAGAATCGTATTGCCGGTGGGGACAGGTGCAAACAATATGGAGGATCTAAAGCCGCAATTGATGTGGCTGAAGAAGAGATTTTTTCTCTAAATTATTATGAAACTTCGTATGATGATTTTCATTTCTAGTACTTCATTGGGTGATATAGGGTGACAGTTTTATACTTTGGACTGCTATTGTTTTTCAGTTTTTGGTTTTCTATTTGCTTTGAATATAGAAAACATACTTTCAGCTTTGAGTTTTCAATATTTTATTTT